CCCTATTTTTTAATTTTTCATGGAGCTGCCATGTTTCCCACCACCACTGTACCATTCATTATTCATTCTTACCGACAGTGCATAAAGTTTCCAATTTCTTCACGTCCTTGCCAACGCTTGTGATTTTCAGATTTTTTTTTAATTCTTAAAAAACTGTATTATTATCATTTTTTATAATGGCTATCCTAATGGATGTGACGTGGTGTCTCGTGGTGGTCTTGATTTGCATTTTCCTAATGATGAGTGGTGCTGAGCATCTTTTCATGTGATTTTGGACCACTTGTTTCCTTTCTGTGGAGAAATGTCTATTCAAAGCTTTTGCCCATTTTTTAAAAAAATGAGTTGTTTGTTTGAAAACTATTACGATTGGGGATAGGGAGGATAAAATTGGCGCTGTGTGGAAAATACTCCATGATGCATGCTGAATTGGATTTTCTGCAGGTTGAAAATTTGCCACCTCACTGCGGCTGCCTGTGAGGATCTCGCCTCCACCCTCAGCGTGAACCAGAGCCTGACGGAGCTGGATCTAAGCCTGAATGATCTGGGGGACCCCGGGGCGCTGCTGCTGTGTGAGGGCCTCAGGCATCCCCAGTGCAAGCTTCAGACCCTCCGGTGAGTCCTGCTTTGCTCACCATCATCCGAGTCCAAATCCACAGTCCTTGCTCTTATGTCTGGGCTTACCGGGGTCACGCTCACGTGACCCCTCTTCTCATAACTAACCTCTAGGATTTTTCTGCCATAGGGCATTTGTACAAGCTGTTCTTTCATCCTGGGATGCCCTTCTGCTTTGCTAACCCCGCTTTTACCCTGGTGACATCTGTTTTATCTGTTAGGACTCAAAACAAATGCTTCTTCCCCATGCATGCCTTCCCTGACCCTTGAATAGGGTCTAGATTCCTAGTTGTGGGATTTAATTTGATCTTACGCTTCTCAGCATCACTCATTAAAACTTGTCATTTGTGTGATCTTCCAAAAGTGCAGGGGCTCTGTCAGCTCTATACCCTGATGGCCACTATAAGAACTGATTCAGGGGTGTTTGGAAATATATGTATTTTAATTTTTTTAAGTTTTTTTGTTTTAATTCCAAGTTAGTTAACATATATATTTAAAGATTTTTATTTATTTTGACAGAGAGAGACACAGCGAGAGAGGGAACACAAGCAGGGGGAGTGGGAGAGGGAGAAGCAGGCTCCCCGCCGAGCAGGGAGCCTGATGTGGGGCTCGATCCCAGGACGCTGGGATCCTGGGAGCGTCTGCCTTTGGCTCAGGTGATGATCCCAGGGTCCTGGGATCGAGCCCAGCATCGGACTCCAGGATCATGACCTGAGCCGAAGGCAGACGCTTAATGACTGAGCCACCCAGGCACCCTAGTTAACGTATTTTTAAATGAGTGAATGCATGAATACACCCAAGGAACAAAAAGAAAACACTGGGGCGCCTGGGTGGCTCAGTTGGTTAAGCGACTGCCTTCGGCTCAGGTCATGATCCTGGAGTCCCTGGATCGAGTCCCGCATCGGGCTCCCTGCTCGGCGGGGAGTCTGCTTCTCTCTCTGACCCTCCCCCCTCTCATGTGCTCTCTCATTCTCTCTCTCTCAAATAAATAAATAAAATCTTTAAAAAAAAAAAAGAAAACACTGAAGGCTGTCAATTTTCAGAAAATCATTTTTTGGGGGCGCCAAAGGAGAGTCTGTCTGTCTGTCCTTCAGAAGCCTCATCTACTATTTGATGTCGTTCACGCTGGAGGGATTTTTTTTTTTTCCTTTTGAGGCATTGTGAATCGCGTACCTTCTATTGCTTTTGTTATGTCTGGAGAAGTGCCCTGTTTCTTCACATTCTTCTCTCCACCCCATCTGGTACCACAATATCACTATGGACCCACACACGCCTCTGCTTTAATTCTGTCTCCTTCATTGGCACCCCAAAGCTCATCTACAGGCATGCCTGTCTCTATTTGATGTAAACGATACATCTCACCAATGGCTCCACCCCACTTACCATTATACATTCAGGATGTGCTGACCTGGTGCAGACATATGTAACGCGTTCCTTTGAGCTGACCTGCATGCCATCCTCTGCAAACACCAGAGGCTGTGGAGTCATGCCCCTCCCCCCACCCCCACTCTGCTGTCCCTTCTTGTATGTGTCCCTTTCTGAACCACCCCCAGGGGCAGAGTCGCACACTCAGCCTGAATTTGCATCCCTGATATCTCAACCGTTCTGAATAGCTCTCTGGAAAGATCGGCAGTTTACTCTTCCACTCGCAATTTAGGAAAGCTACTTTGCCGATTATCTTTATGGTTATTCAACTTTCTATCTTTAAAGCCCTGGTGGGTGTAAAATGTTCTTAAATGGCATTTCCGTGTTGTGTATCTCTTCATGTGCTTATCAGCTTTTTTGGTTTCCCCAGTCTGTGAATTGCCTATTCATATAATTTATTGATTTCTTTGGTATGTGTCCTACATTTCTCTTGATGCGCAGATGTTCCCTGTTTCAGACATTAATCTTTTGTTGACTGCATACCTTGGAAATGTCTGCTCAGCAGGTCACCAATCTGTCAAATTGTGGATGCTTTCATCAAACAGAAATCTTTACGTTTTGATGTCAAATCCATATGTATTTCTATGATTTATATTCTTGTGACAGGTCTCAGAAATCCTTTGCCAGGCACCTGGCTGGCTCAGTTGGTGAAGCAGGCTGACTCTTGATCTCGAGGTTGTGGAGTTCAAGCCCCACGTTGGGTGTAGATTACTAAAATAAATTAAAAAAAAAAAAAAGGAATCCTTTGCTAGTACACCATTGCAGGTATATTCAGTTTCTTCTTTGTGTTTACATGTGTGGTTAGGCTCGGTTCAATTTTCTTTTTCTAATTTTTGCAATGCCATTTAATAAAGGATCCATACTTTCCTTGCTGATTTTAATGCCAGTCCCATTGCAAACTATTTTCCCATATTGCAGGGGTTTTTTTTAGGTTTATTTATTTAAGTAATCTCTACATCTAACATGGGGCTCGAACTCATGATCCTGATATCAAGAGTCCCTTGCTTCTCCGCCTAAGCCAATTAGGCACCCCTCCCCCATTCTATGCTCTCCACGTGTCTGCGCTCCTAATCTAATTTCCTGCCGTTGTAATTGCTGTAATTTGTTACATGCTCCACTGTTAGGAAGAGTCTGTCTTTTGCTTTTTGTTTTTGCAGATTTTCAGTTATTCATAGATATTTATTCTGTCATTAAATTTTATTTTATTTATTTAAGAAAAAGATTTTATTCATTTATTTGAGAGAGAGAGAGAGAACGAGCAGTGGGGAGGGGCAGAGGGAGAGAGAGAAGCCAACTCCCGGCTAAGCAGGAAGCCCAATGTGATGTGGGGGTGGTGGGGGGGCCTCCGGCTGAATCCCAGGACCCAGAGATCATGACCTAAGGCGAAGGCAGATGCTTAACCATCTGAGCCACCCAGGTGCCCTTCTGCCATTAAATTTTAGGATGCATTAAAAAAAAATTCTTTTTTAGAACACATTGGTCCAGTTACCCCAGTGTGGCTCTTATTGACTGAGGCCAGGCTCCTTCTCTTGTGCAGACACATCAGGCCAGACAGACGTTTACATTTACACAGATCCTGTGCGTCACCCTCGAAGAAAAGGAGAGTTCAGGGTTTCACCGTATGGGAGCTATATCTCAGGCAGAAATGTCTGAAAACTAGGAAAAAAATACTATACTATGAAATATAGCACTTCTGACTCTCTGAAGCCCCCACACAGTCTTCCGACTTCAAGGGCAGCCACGCTAACTGCAGGGACTGTGGCTGAGGGGGCCCCGGGTCTGTGACTTTGAGCAGTGCATGGCGTCTGTCTGTCGGGGCCTAGAAGCTCACGGGTGTCGTAACAACGGGTGTGACACCATTTTCCACCCAGCAGATATTGCCAGGAGCAAAGGAAGTAACACTTACAAATCACTTGCTGTTGGGGAGCCTAGCCGGCTCAATCAGAAGAGCATCCAACTCTTGATCTTGGGGTCGCGAGTTTGAGCCCCACGTTGGGTGTGGGGATTACTTAAAATAAAGACAAGATGAGACAAGACAAGACAGGGAGACCTATGTAAATCATTTGTTGTTACGGGTCCATGTGTTCAGAAAATCCCTGTGTTGAAGTCTCAGCCTCCAGGCCCTCAGAGGGTGGCCTCCGGTGGAGATGCAGTTCTGGAGGCTGGAAGCTGGGAGATCAGGTGTCGGCGAGGGCTCCAGTATCGAAATTGGGAGGGGCACAACCCAGCCCATTACAGGGGCTGTTGCAGATAAAATTAGTTCAGGTGGGGCGCCTGGGTGGCTCAGTCCGTTGAGCGTCTGCCTTTGGCTCAGGTGATGATCCCAGGGTCCTGGGATCGAGCCCAGCATCGGGCTCCCTGCTCCGCGGGGAGCCTATTTCTCCCTCTCCCTCTGCCTCCCCCCTGCTTGTGCTCTCTCTCTCTGTCAAATAAATAAATAAAATCTTAAAAAAAAAATTGGTTCAGGTGAGGGCCTGCTGGAGCGGGGCGGCCCCGAGTAAGGTGTCCTCATGAAGAAGGGAAATTCGGACACAGCGCGCACACAGGAGGATGCAGTGTGAACCTGGGGGCAGAGATCGGGGTGATGCTTATACAGGGCGGGGAACACCAAAGTCTCCCCGGGGCAGAGCCTGGAGCAGGTTCTCAGGGCCACGGAGGGAACCAGGCTCCCAGCGCCGTGAGACAGTCAGTTTCTACCGTGTGAGCCACCAGCCTCGGTACTTGTTACAGTAGCTGCCGGACGCTCATACTCGGGCACCCGTCCGATGCCCGGCCCATACCAAACATTCCTGTGTTCCTTCCTGCTCCCCTCTCTCTTCTTGTTTCTCTCTCCCTTCTGCCTGCCCACCCGCCTGCTCCTTGCTTCTCCCTTCTTCTGTCTGGGGGCACCCAGCACGGGAGCCCTCCCCGGGGACGTCTGCGGGCTGAGTGAGCTGGGCTCTGGGCGTCCTGTCTTCCAGGTTGGGCATTTGCAGGCTCAGCTCGGCTGCCTGTGAGGGTGTCTGCACAGTGCTCCGGGCCAACCGCCACCTTCGGGAACTGGACCTGAGCTTCAATGACCTGGGGGACGCGGGCATGTGGCCGCTGTGCGAGGGGCTGCGACACCCCACCTGCAGGCTCCAGAAACTGTGGTGAGCCCTGGGCGCTGGGACGGGTGGGGTGCCGGTGGTGGCGGCGTGTCCCTGTCCGTGTGTTCTCTTCACGGAAGGGCCAGCCCTCCACGGCCCTGGAAGACACCGGGAGCCCCAAGAGGTGGACAGAAAAGCTGCGAACAGCTCACAGAGGAATTCGTTCTCTGGGGGATGCAAACACAAAATGCCTCACTTTCCCTTTGCTCCTTGCCTGTAAACATTTGCTGTAAAATTCCCCTTTCTGTTGACATTTACTTGCGCAGATGCCTGGCTCTTCAGTGACCTTTATAGAATAAAAAAATCAGTCTGCTGCAGTGTGAATTCCAGCCAAATGTGAACTGTTCCTTCCTCCTCCTTCTTTCTCCCTGGAACCTGCCTGGCCCCCACCCCGAATGACTGTCTGTTTCTATTGTGGTCATTTCTGTGTCTCTCGGTTATCTGGAGACCTGGGTAGGTGGGCATCGAGACGGGGGCTCAGGGACAGCACTTTCCCCTTATTGGTGCTGCTAGGGTCCCGGGGTGTCGGTATCTCCCCCCCCATCTGGCAGGTATCCAAAGACCACCTCTGTCTTTGGGATCACATGTGTGTTCTTACGGGACCCCCACCCGCACCCCCAGGAAGTGCCCCAACTGCTCAGTCTCCTGACATGGAATCTGGGTCGACCTCCTTGCATAGCCCCCTCCCCCACCACGGGTTTCACCCTAACCTTCCTCTCCGGACCCTTCTGCACCACGCTGGTTTTTTTCTCTTCCTCTGCAAGTCCAGAGCTGTTATCTTGTACCTCCTTTTGGAAGCTGGCATCTCTTGTCTCACAAGCTCAGCCAAACTAAGATTAAAATATTTCCACTTAGCATCCCAGCTGTGATGGTACCTCTTTCCGACGGTTGCTGTGAGGAATGAATGACGAAGCAAACAAAGCCCTTAGCAAGGTGCTCAGCACAGAGCTGGCCCTCAGTAGATACTACTACCTGTTCTTATTGTAACAGCAGAGAATGCAGGCAAGAAACACAATGGGAGGCAGATTGGAAATCAGAGAGAATCAGATGGCACACTGTTTGGGCAGGTGGCAGCCCAATTCATACTGGCTCCTGAGGGGGGGGCGAAAGGAGGGCTTCTTGACTTGTGTCACTGTGCTTACTTCAGGCATGGCTTGATCTAGGTGTTTGGACACTTTTTTTTTTTAAAGATTTTATTTATTTATTTGATAGGGAGAGGGAGAGCACCAGGAGGTGGAGTGGCAGGCAAAGGGAGAGGGAGAAGCAGGCTCTCTGCTGAGCAGGGAGCCCGATGCGGGGCTCGATCCCAGGACCCTGGGATCATGACCTGAGCCGAAGGCAGCCCTCAACCACCCGAGCCACCCAGACGCCCCTAGGTGTTTGGACTCTTGATCTCTATTATCTTCCGTACTTGTTGCTGTATTGATTCCTCTCTTGAATAAGTTTAGCCTTGATCCTGCTTGGTGGCAAAACACCTGCAGCTCTAAGGAGGACTTCTTCTTACCAGGTCTAAGTTCTGAAAGAAAAACTCCAGGAATCAAGTAAGGTTCTGATTCACCCGTTTTGGGTGGGTCTTCTGTCCAACTGAAACCATTCATGGTAACTGGAGACATGGAAACCAACCAACTCAGGCCTGGATCCTGAGCTTAAGGACAGTGTGAACCCCAGATGGGCTGAGACTGGGGTTTCAATGAGAAATTGGGGTAGAATTACCAGGAAGGGAAGTGGGTACTTGACTGCAAAATCAGTGGGCATCCTAGAGAGATGGAGCTGTGAATTAACAAGCGTCTTTAAATGCCTCTCTTAAATGTTTTCCATCACCACGTTGGCCTTAACCAGGACCAGTTGGGTTCTACTCTGCTTTCTCTTAAATTGGTCCCCTGAAGACATCACCCTGAATCTCTCTCAAGAGACTTTCCAAAATAGCTCCTTACGTTTCTTCAACTACTCCTTGTCTTCCACAGGCTGGATAGCTGTGGTCTCACAACCAAAGCCTGTGAGGATCTTTCTTCTGCCCTCAGGGTCAGCCAGACCCTGACGGAGCTCTATCTGACCCACAACACCCTGGGGAACGCAGGGGTCAGGCTGCTCTGCAAGGGGCTGAGTCATCCCGGCTGCAAACTCCGAGTCCTCTGGTGAGAGATGGGTTTCTGGTTCTGAAGGAGACAGGGGCGTGGGGCTTGGAGGTGGGAGTGAGGGTCAGTGGCCGAGATCCATGGTTCGGATGGAAAAATAAGCTAGAAATTTGGAAACATTTCCTTCGTGTGCTAATGTGTGCAATTAGTGTGGATTGCCGAGGAGGCCTTACTTTCTGTCCTCACTAGCTGGGTGACTTTGGGTGATTCACTGAGGACCGACTTCCTAGTCTGTCAAATGAGGCTGTTGTAGCTTAGCGAGAATCTGGAGTTACTCTGCCAGGCCTCAAGTTCTAATTCTGTCACTTCCCAGTTTTGTGATGGGTTTCTGCAAATCGTTCCACCTCTTGGCTCCTCAGTATCCCCCAGACTGAATGAGCAGGTCAGGGACATTTGCTGGTGTATAGCTTGGAGTCCAGCCTGGTTCCCGATGAGATCTGGTTTCCAACGAAGTACTAGATAATGAAATTATGGTAATAAGGCAGGAGGCGTGATAGATTTGAATGCCACAGCAGTGGCCTGGAATAATGTGTCCTGCTCTGTGTCCTAAGGTTATTTGGAATGGACCTAAATAAAATGACCCACAGAAGACTGGCAGCCCTTCGGCTAACGAAACCTCACCTGGACATCGGTTGCTGAACAACCACTGGCTCTTGGAGTCACGACAGAGGAAGGTGATCCCAGTCAACGTGTGGTATCAGCCTCTTTTATCTCCTGCAAACTCCCACGCAGGTTAAATCCCTTCTGTTTGGGGACTGTCATCAACGTGTGATGGAGCGTGGAGCGTTAGTTTTGGGAATGCAGATGTCATGGAGAGAACTTAGGACAGGGCCCCAGATGGTTCTCAGCAAAGGGTGATTTTGCACCCCTCACCCTCCCCGGGGCAATTGGCAATGTCAGGAGACATTGGGGTGGTGTTGGGAGCTACTGGATGTAGTGGGTGGAGGCCACGGATCCTCCCAAACATCCTGCAAAGGACAAGACAGCCCCCTACGGCTAGAGTGTTTAGTTAAAATGACATTTGTGCTAGGTTGAGAAACCTCATCCAAGGATCAGCGGTGCAATGAGGGTGCCAGGCAGCGTGCCTTAGGATGCTGGTCGTGCCAACGGCCTGACCCTTGCAATCTTGTCTGCACATGGTCCTGACGCCAGGCTGGAGGCAGGTGCACCGCGGTTGGACCCCTTGCCACGGTTAGCCAACTGTAGGCCGGCCAAGAACCTGTACTGTGCTTTGGATAAGAACTCGAACAAACGCAGGTTTTCCCTCTTGGGAGATAGAGAACCTCAGCCCCAGCCGGTGATGGGCAGGAACCCCCAAGGACACCGTGAAAATGCTGCTCACACTGAAGCCCTAAGTGAAGGTGTCTGGGAAACACTGGAACTTCCTAGGAAGCAGAGGTAATTTGTCGAGGAACCCGTGACTTGTAACCCATGGACGTCTGGAAAGGGAAGTAAATGCGATTCCGCAGATGTCATTCCTGTGGGCATCAATAAATGTCCCACGAATGGTCACGTCACGCTTGGCTCCTGGAAATCCAGCCCTTTCCATGACTGAGCCCCCCTGTAGCATGTCTGCCTCGTCCCCCTTTGTCAGCTGCTTCTGAAACAGCCCCTCTCACGGCCCCACGGGTCACGACCGAGGCCCTTTGCTGGAGCTGAAGCAGAAACGCGGGCCCGATGCCCAGATCCTGGGCTGCCTCTCGAGGGGCAGTTAAGGTCCGTGGGCGGCTCTTGGGAAGGACGAAGGTTCCACAGGATGCCTTCTAAGGTGTTAGGGGGCTCCTGGCTAGATAATGGCACAACGGAAGGGACGAGGCAGCTCCCTGGGCCTGACTTTCGGGACCGTACTGCAGTAATTTGGGGAGACCCGTGGGGCACAGCCTCCAGGACCTGTGAAGGTCTGTTCCATTGAAATGGTCATGAAGCCTAGCAGCCATTCCCAGTAAAATCTCTTAACCAGCAGCTAAGTTTATCGTGTACTGAGTGCATTTTCCCTTAACAGGAAAAATGGCATTTTATGAGAGCCTAAAATAGCAACGCTGCAGGGTGCACCCCCCCCAGCACAGGCAGCGTTACGTTTTCCCCACTGTTCACCTCGAGGTTCTACTTTCAGCCACTTGAATCCTACACAGGGAACTACAAGGCACTCATTCCTGACACCCTCCGCCCTTTGCCCATTTTCAGTATGGCCACATCTTGAGCGTAGCTTATCTCAACACTTGGGATTGTGGAGAATGGGCAGGAGGTAAGTTACCTCTACATATCAGGGTGACTCCTTAATGGGAGAATAGGGAGACCATGGCACGTGTCCCCATGTTGGGGTGGGGAACTGCGACCATTTGGGGCTTCCCGTGCACGTTCTTTCACACCTGCACATGGGCAGGCACTTCCTTTTGGACAAAGTTTAAGCGTACAGATGTGAAGCCCAAGAACCAGCGCCCCCCACACTGCACTGGACAGGGCCAATTCGCAGGCTAGTCAAACCACACAGAAGCAACATACTTAGTTCGTATTTTATTGGACTGATTTGACTGATTTCCACCATTTGATGTTAATTACAACAGGACTGAATGTCAAGAGCAAAAGCCACCCACAAATGAGTAAACTGGAAAGGTTATCTTTGGATTGGAATTGAGGGGAAAAAAAGCTGTTCAGAGCTGAAGGAAGGTCCTTAAAATCAAAATCAAAGACTACTGGGTCAGTTTATGGAAAAAGTCCCGAATTGCACAAATGCCCACTAGGCAGGAGAAACGGGCAGGACAGAAGGACGTGGGCTCTGGGGACAGCTCGTCTGCACCAGGGATGGCTGGGCTGGGCCCCGGAGGTAGGAGGCTGTAAGTCTAGAGGCAGGTTAGCACATTCACCCAAAACACTGGTTTTCCAGTCCGTCTCGAGGATGCAGCAGTTTTCCTCATACAAGGACACACAAAAATGGGAGCACTTTCCAGACAGAGAACGGGGAGTGCCCTCATTTTGTGTATCCCAGTGTGAGCAGTTGGATTCTGCTCCTGGAAGCCACCGGAAAGGGTGCCGAGCCACACGCGGCATCGGGAAGCCTAATACAGAAATAAGTTAAAAACACATTAACACTGAAACATCCAGGTTCCACGGTTGGTTGTGCATGTCCGGACGCTTCCTGAATACTAAAAACCCCATTTACCCTTGGATAAAGGTCAGTTGATCCAGAAAGCCCCGAAGACAGCTGGGGCCGAAGAGGATCGGGGTTCCCTTGATGGTGCCCACCAGTAGGACCCAAATATTGTAGCACTTTTCACAGATTTGATCGAAGAGTGCTTCCACATTTGAGTGCCACGGGAGAGCTACGAGGACGTGGCCTGGACGGGGCTTCCGCTTGACCCAAAACGGCTCAGGACGGTCAAGGAGCCGTCCCACCGTTCCGAGCAGAGCTTCTCAATCGGGGACCCTCAAAAAATGGCGGCACTTCCCTCCTTAGAACAGAAAGTGCCCCCACAGTTTGAGTGCCACAGGTCGAGTATCCACGACTGGCCACGAAGGGAAACCACTCAGCAGGTAGTAAGTCAAACGGCCAGTGATTAGACCCGCCTTGCCCCTAAAGGTCTGGGAGATACAAGGGGACCATAAAGCAAACAGATAAAAGGTCACCCAACACCCCCCCCAGTTTAGCACATTACAACATCCATTGAGAACATTTACACGTAACCCCACTCAAGATCAAACACTTAAGGTTTGGTGATGTCCAACAACAGGCCTGGTTTGCAGTTTTTGCCGACAGTGGACGTGGGAGATTTAAAGAACTGGCCTTATTACCCCCAAAGGCACAGATTAACCCACTTTCCCACTCAATACCATGTAAAAACCGCACACTCACACCCATTCATCTGAATAGAAATCCACAGGGAGAGCCCACAGGATATGGGAAGGTTTGAGAGCCTAGGGTGGGGGGTACTCAGGGGAAAATAGCAGGGAGTGGGAGAAAGCAGGCAACCTTAGTAAGGAAAAGCGGAAGGGAAGGCTCTACCAAAAGGGGGGGCAGGAGAGGGGAAAGTCATACTCACAAGGGAAGTGAACGCGGTCACGCGGCCTCCCAGGGCAGGCAGCGCTGCTGGGCTCTTATAAAGGCTGATGGCCCGCTCTCCCTTGCCTCTGGGGGAGGACCCTTCCCTCCACTTCTCCGCCCAGACCCACCTGAGTGCCTCTGATTGGAGCTGGTCTGGGTCAGACACTCCCTTACCTGTTTGTTAAACAGTTTACCCTTTTGTTGGGTAGTCTCTCCTTGGGGAAATGCGGACAAGTGACCAGAGGAAAGTAATTCCGTCTCCTGGGGTGGGGGTCGGTTATTGATTGAGCAAACATTTAAGCATGATCTGTATTAGATTTACTGAATTTATGAGATTTACCAGGCACTTTGCTAAGCTCCAGCGGTGGGAGGGATGAATAACACCATGGATTGTATTGTCTAGAACAGTGGTTTCCAACCAGGGGTGGGTTTCTTTCTCCCCAGGGGACAGTTGGCAATGTCTACGGACCTTTTTGGTTGGCAAAACTGGGTTGTGGGGGGCAGAGTGTGCTTTCAGCATTTAGTGCCTGGAGGCCAGGACTGCTGGTAAGCATCCTCCAACGCAGGCAGCCCCTCTCGAAGAGGGGTCCCCAGCTCCAAAGATGAGGAACTGATTTAGCATAAGCCTGATGAGCAGGAAAAAAAAATAAATACAGCCCCCTGCCCCATAACAAGGACACATACATATAATTGCTGTTCAAACAATTTCATCTCAGTGTTGCAGCATACTCCTATAAATGTTGGTGTTGGGAGCTCACCTCTGTGTTTTTAAAATTAAATAGTCTGTTACAAAGTATTTAAAAGGGACGCCTGGCTGGCTCAGTCCATGGAGCAGGACAAGCTTGATCTCAGGGTTTGTGAGTCTGAGCCTCCTGTTGTGTGCAGAGATTACTTACAAATAAAAAATTAAAAAAAAAAAAGTCTTAAAAAGTGGGCGCCTGGGTGGCTTGGTAAGCCTTCAGCTC